CAAAAATAACAATAATATTAGGAATAATGATAATGATACTACTATTACTATTGATAATAATAATAATAATAATAATAATAATAATAATAATAATAATAATAATAATGATAATGATAATAATAATAACAATAATAATAATAATAATAATAACAAAAATGGTGACAATAATGGTAATGTAATAATAATAATAATGCTTATAATGACAATGATAATTATGATGATACTTTTACTACTACTACTACTACTACTGCTACTAATTATCATTATCATTACTCTTATTATCATTATTATTAATTACAATAATAGTAGTAATGTTAATAATGATGACAAAATAAACATAGAAATAATAATAATAATAATAATAATAATAATAATAACAATGATAATAGCGATAAAAATAATGATAATTATGATAATAGCGATAATAATAATGAAAATAATAATAATAATAATAATGATAATAACAATAATAATGATAATAATAATAATGATAATAGTAATAATAATAATGATGACAAGATTAATAATACCAGTAATCATTATAATAATGATAACAATTATCGACCTCGGACATCCTCACTACATACCACTTCAAAGGCAGCTTCTCGCGAGTCCATGTGAGGGCACAGGTCAGTGGATGCAGACGAACTTGACCCTTGAGTCGAGCGCTTTCACGTACTCCCTGGCTTGCCCCGACGATGTGTACGGACCAGAGCTGCCACATAGTGATCTGGGTGTATAGGGAATGTCTTAGTGTATATCTCTGTTAGTTTCAGTGAAGGCGGAGAGGGGGGGGGTATTATAAGTTGTACCGTGGTTTTGGCTGGTTAGTTATTGTTATTGGTTTTAGTGTTGCTGAAATGGGGATGTTGATGAGACAGATCATACTTCTACTACTTCTGCTATTATGGATAATAATGATGGTAACATAATTTAGATATCAATGAAAATGGTGATGATGGTGGTTATAGTGATGGTGATGATGACAATGATGATCGTGATGATAACGGCAATGATAATGATAATAACAAAAAATAAAGATATTAATACTGATGATGATGTTGATGTACTAATGATAAAACAGTAATAATAATTATAATTATAAAAATAGAAATAACAATTACCCAAAAATAATAATAATAATATATAACTATAAATTACATCACAGTCGTCGCCGTCCATTCATTTTGTATCATTCCCATTATTTCCATGTGTATTCTACGTAAATGTGTTCATGAGTATGCATACACATCTGTCAGTGTAAGTAAAAACAAAACAATATATATTTTACCTACAAAAGGACTTACATTAGGATTAGAGACGGTTGCTTCAGGATTTTCATCAAAAGCTCTGTTAATCTTAGCAGCTAGGGCAGGGTCAGTTAGATTCTGAAATAACAAAAATGGTTAAAAATATCGGAAGAAAATATTAGTTTTTCTTTTTTATTCACTTATCTTTGGTAGGAGTTAGGAATGTGCCATTTTCTCCTTTTTTGTAAGCGAAGTGTAATAGAAAGAAAGAAGAGAGAGAGAGAGAGAGAGAGAGAGAGAGAGAGAGAGAGAGAGAGAGAGAGAGAGAGAGACAGAGACAGAGACAGAGACAGAGACAGAGACAGAGACAGAACAGAGACAGAGACAGAGACAGAACAGAGACAGAGACATACATACATACATACATACAGACAGACAGACAGACAGACAGACAGACAGACAGGCAGGCAGACAGAAAACAGAGACAGAGCGAGAGCAGCGAGCGAGCAGAGAAACTCTTACAGACAATCATCAAATCCCTAAACATCAAAATCCAAAACGACTCACGTAAGCTTTAGCGTAAGCAAGATAGTGCTTCCTGGTCACGAGGGACATGTTCCTGTCGCAGGAGACCAAGGAATTCGTGGTCATGTGGTAGAGCCGCACCCAGTCGCCGTTCATCACGTACTCGGGCAAACCATCGTAGAAAGTATCGCCCAGGTCGGGGTCCTCCTCGGGAACAGGACCTTGCTGGTTGAGAAAGGGGCGTGGCATGAGGTGAATGAGGAAAGAGTGTGGAAGTGGCAAGGAAAGGCGTGTAAGTGGTGAGGAGGTGAATGAGGAAAGAGTGTGGAAGTGGCAAGGAAAGGGCGTGTAAGTGTGAGGAGGTGAATGAGGAAAGAGTGTGGAAGTGGCAAGAAAGGGGCGATGAAAGGGCGTGTAAGTGGTGAGGTGATGGTTGGATGAATAATAGTTTTAAACAATATTGACTTTAAGAACATCTTAGAAGGCCATTTTCACAATCAAAGACTTCTGAGACGGTCTGAATTGTATTGTAATACAGGACATACAAATTCTACATTTAATCAAGAGGCCTCTTGAACAATACTCACAAGTAATTATTGACGTCTTTGGCTCCGAAGCCCGTAAGTTGTTGCTTATTCTTCCCTACTTTGTGTTGAGGGTAAGTAAAGTTGTGGCTGTGTAAGTAGATGCCGGCCAAATTGGTGTTCTTGAGGGTGATGACGTTG